TGGATCCAGGCCCCGCAATAACTTCCTTAAGAAATAACCCTGCAAGGGCCGGCGGAGTGGCTCAGTTGGTTAAGAGCTCGCTCAAGAGTTTGAGCTCTGAGCAACAGCGGTTCGAGTCCTGGCCCNTACAGAGTAGCAACGAAAATAATTTTATGGTTGGGGGTCACAACATGAGGAACTATATTAAGGGGTCGCGGCATTAGGAAGGTTGAGAACCGCTGCCCTAGAGTCTTCCAGGGACTCTCAATAAACATGACAGATTAAACACATATATTTATCTCTCCTCCCTTCTCACATCCCATCAAAGTGACAAGAAGGCAATGGAAATATAAACCCACTGAGAAAGGATGGAAAATGGAAACCACAGAGATGGCGGCAACATTTTGGAAAACGACAAACGGGTTGAAACTGAAACCAACCCACCTGCAGTGAGGGAAGTCAACAAGAAACAAGCTGACTGGCATCAAGGAGTCCCAGAAAGGGTCAAGAATTGGTGGCACCAGGTACTTCTGAATGTGAGAGTGTAAGCAGAGCTGCACACAGGAGGACTGATAAAAGCCTACATGGGAAACAGCTCTAGACTCACTCCCCTCCCCACTCAATGCACCTTGGTAGTCACCCCTCCCTAATCCCAAGAGGAGACTTCACTTTTAGCCTATGGATAGGCGAACCCAGATTTGGGAACTTTCGGCACAGGGGAAGGGGGGAATAAGGCACAGTATTGATCCAGGGGGATACGTGAAAGTCAACAGCATGAGCTGTGAGAGGTCACTGTCCCCCAACCCCACTCACCTTCCCTCACTTGGGTCCTAGCACACAGATCAGCCTGTTGGTACTTCACTTACATGTAAACAACTATTTGAGGAAAGCCTCAGACATAAAAGCCAGACATCAAAACAAAGAGGAAAAAAAGACTCAGTTGACAAGCTGATCCTAAAATTCACAAGGAAGTGCAGGGGACCAACCCAGAATGACCAATACAATCTTGAAAAAGAAGAAAAAAGTTGGAGGATTCCCAATTTCCAATTTCAAAACTTACTACAAAGCTATCGTAATCAATACTGTGTGATACTCACATAAGGATAGACATATAGAGCAATGGAATAGAATTGAGAGTCCAGGTACAAACCCATACATTTATGATCAATTGATTTTAGACAAGAAGACCAAGATAATTCAGTAGGAAAAGAATAGCAATCTTTTCAACAAATGGTGCTGGGACAACTAGATATCCATGTGCAAATGAATGAAGTTGGACTCCTACCTTATACCTTATATAAAAACAAACTCAAAACATATCAAATGTAACAGCAAAAACTATAGAACTCTTAAAAGGGGCCAGCCGAGTGGTGCGT